AACAAGGTTGAGTGCTCTTGTCAAAGTCCTTTCTTTTTTTACCCACACTCGTGGCAGGTTAATTTGCGGCTGTTTATCGCCAGGGCAGGGTTACGAATGGATTTTTCATCGATACGCCATGATATTTTTTACAATTGTGTTGCTAGATTTTGCCAAGGACGTGAATTTTTCTGACATTTGCATCGGGAGTATCGTAACGGCGTGAAATCGAATTTATCGTTGAGGAAAATTATATTCATTTCTCGAGGACGTCCAATCTTCATTCGATTGTACAAGGAATACTCGAGCTGTGCTGGCTTGTAAAACTGATAATTGGAATATGGCAAAAGAGCTTCAATTATTTGCTTCAACCACAGTTCGCTAAAGTCCTTTTCTTGTATTCTTGGATATATTCTTCTTGAAATGATGGCAAATTTTTTTTCGATGTGACAACAATTATTCTTTTAGCTGTTTCGGCCAAAAACGAAAATGGCCGAGATCAGTGAGCAAAATTTAGCAACCAAGCGATAAAACAAGAAACCCATGTTGTGATTTTTCCTCTACTGTGTTAGTAGAGAGTTACATCGGCCTTTTTTTCTGTATTCTAAACTTTGCTGCCCGCGTATTATATATGAAAATACCCCAGTTATGACACAGGAAATCCCATCTGACTTTTTTCAAAATTAAATTTCCTCAAACTACGTATAAATATAGAAAGTAAGATAAACAGAACGATATCGTGTCTTGTCATGAAAATTTCGACGACTGTGGCACGATGTGACACATGGCTGTTCCACTATTGGTGACCGCCGCTGGTGCAACTATATCATTTTATATTAGCGTTTGGTTACAATCCTGTCGATCTAATAAAAACAAAAAATCCGTTACTTTTTTTGTTCGCCGTAAGCCATAAACACCAGCTGAAATGGCGTGATGAATAGAAAACGATAACGGAGGGTATCTTAAACCTGCTGCGCGATATGATAATCATCCTACGTGCGTTATTATTTGGCTTGCAAGTTCAAAACAAAAAACTTCATTGTTCAATGCCTATCGCTTGTTATGTAAACTGCAATATTTTGGTATGTAACTATGTTACTGAAATGCAAGCTCGTGTGCACTCTATATGGTTATCATTCACTATAAGACAAGCGCAAATACAAGCGTTATAAGGATTCAACGTCGATATAATCGAGCATGGTACACGTATATATATTGGTACTTGTTGCGAATAGGAGGGAAAATATTGTCACGGAGCATGACGGGCGTATTACGTAAAATATGCAAGCTCGTCAACTTCTCATCCCCCGAGTAGCCGTCGCCGTTGCACGTGTGTTGGTAGTGGCAGCTTCTGCCACACGCGACGAGGTCACACAATATGTACATTGACATATTGGATTGGATAATCAGGGTTATTTGAATAGTTTTGACCTGATTGCCACTTTGATTTTCTTTCGAGGATATTGCCGACCGGTACCGAAACAATGCAAGCGCGTCGAGCAGCTATTATCAACGTTCGAAGATATGCGCCTGTGGGCGCGTAACGTCATCCGCGGCGACTTCGGCAGAGCCAACGGGGCGCGCGCATCATTTTAAGCGCGTCGCGCGAAGTTCGACAGTTTCAAGCGCGCGAGAAGCCACTCGCGAACGGAAAATCGCCACCCGCGGCGTTGCGCCGTGCCGTGATGTCGTTTCTTCCAGCATCGCCAGGCGAACGCGAACGATTCTGTTGGCTCGTCGCCGCGCGCTGCCTATTGGCACGCGAGGAGGAACTTTGCGCGATCGATACTCGGATTTGTACGTTTAGCTTTTTTTGCTTTTGCCGGCCGGCCGTTGGTTGCCTCAAAGGCAAGGCCGCGTGGCCCTCGACGCAGAAGCCGAGCGGTTTTTCAGAGGCTTTGTTAGAAGTGACGAGACAACAACGACGACGACGACGACGGCGAGGCGAGCGATCTGCGCGACTGCGCGCTAAAGCCAATTATCGACGATGACCGCGCCGCGTAAAGCTTCCGCGAACGGACGACTGCCACTCGGATATTTCATCGACCCAAAATCGTCGTCGCTCTTCCTTCCCTTTTCGTCCCACTGCTGCGAGCACTTTGTTGTTTAATTTGCGTCTGTGCGCCTGTTACATTTGAATGGATTGCACTTTGAGCATTGGAACACTTTTATTTTTGTGAGGAATTCGTTAAATGACATGTAAAATCGTGGCGCTGTTACAACGTTTAATTGTTTATGAAAATGCACGAAATGAACGCCAGCAAACATTTTTCCGATATAATTCTGCGAAGCCTAATGATGCACGTTTTAGCTTCGCGTATACGTAAAATAGGCACCGCACACGTCTAAATTGGTATTTCACTCATAAAATATAATCTCGAAAGTGTATAGTAGTCACTTGACACCTCTCAAAACAGTCCGACAATGTTGTTCTTCCGTCTTTCTTTCTTAGTTCATTGGTTAACACGTATTTCGACAGCTGTCGATTCACGCGTTTATTGAGCCAGAATTTTCGAGGGTTTCGGCAGCCACGCGCAATGGTCAAAGGCAACGACGATCGTTGGCCTGGCGTAACGAACGAGGACTCTTTCCCGTGTGATGTTCCATTGATATGCGCGCGTGACAGTTGCCAAGAGCGGCAATAAAAACACCGAATTCCTCTAATAACGTGCCCACGAGAATCGTATAGCGCGTCAAGGTCGGGAGCGAGAGCGTTTGAAAAGTCCACGCGGTCTAAGCGTAGATTCCAACGACGTTGTTCGAGAGGAGGAAAAAAAATCTCCCCGGCAGTGTTACACAAAGGGAAAAAGGATCGCGGAGGTCGTCCCAAGGCGTGTTGAGCGCACCGAAACAGCGAGGAAACTCTCCTGACAGCTTTGTCGGCACGTGGCTTCGGGCTTTTTTCTTTGCTTTCTCTATTTTTGTAAATTAGTTTGGAGAATGGATTTTGTGCTCGTCGCAAACCATCCTCTCGGCGCGTCAATTATTCGTGCTGTGCGCGGCAGTGAATGGTCATTTTTCGGACAGACCAGTTTTTCTAATTTATGTTCCTCGGAGTCGCATTCTTTTAGGCGTTTGTAATTTTTTACGGCCCGTTTGATTCCGTAACTGGCAAGATGATGTTATACAATAGTGTTTTTCAGATTATCTCATAAGGATAAATTCGCAAATTGGTCTTAAAAAATGAAATCGATTTCAATTTGAATTGCAAATAATCCATTTTTGGTCATTGTAAAAATTTGAAATTATAATATTCTGTCGAAGTGCTTCTTGAGTTTAGTATGACTCACGCATACTAAATGGAATTGGTTTATTGAAAAAATGACCGCATCCAAAAATTTACCAATTGCTAATTCGAGATCAACGATCTTAGACAGTAGAGATTAAAAGAGAATTCCTATTAATTGAATAAGTATCAAACTGGCTCCTCTTAGCGAATCAACTATACCACCACGGCCATCGCGTTAAACTGGAAGCACTCGAAGTTTGGCAGATTAGGAGAATAAACGAAAAAGTTGCGAGAAAATCAATTTCGGAATCCAGTTGCAGAGGAGACGGTGATGTACGTGATCCCCCTTAATAATTTTTTCATCCCTGGCAGGTCAATAAAAAGGGCAAGACGATGTTTATTTCTCGATGCGACAAACATAAGAAACGATCTGCTCGACGACGTGAGCGATACGCCGAATCGATATTGAGTGTACGGGAAGAGTAATGCCCGCGTGTCGGTGACCCTGCATATGTATATGCCTTAGCTTTCAGAGCTAGATAAACCTTAGTAAATAACGGCACGAAAATGTGGATGTAATATTCAGTCGTTTTCATTCTAGCAGATTGATTTACATAAAACTTTGTCCTGCTCGATCGAAGTGTCATTCATTCTTCCTCAATAGAATTGTACTAAGTTTATGCATTACTTTAAGAAAGACAAGTATAACGATTGTGCAAAATTCTTTTATTTGAAAGATCGCCATACTTCGAGAAACAGCTACACATGCAGTTTCGTACAGTTGCGAATGAGCGTTTAAATATACCGCAGAAACCACAGAGGTGTGGAGAAGCTCAAAGCTGTACAGTATTTTCAGCATTATAATCAATTCTAGGGGGAATTATTGACTTTTGTTAAGCCAACCGACACGAAATTACTTTTTTACCGTTTGCCATAAAAATATCGTCAAAAAGTAAGGAATGACTGGAAGGAATTTTTTAAATTATACAATTATTATTGAAAAAAAAACTGTCATTTGATGAGGAAGCACATTGTCAACTAAAAATTCTAAAGAATTAAGATTAAGTAAAGCACTTTTGTAATACGAACGAAATCCAAATATTTTAATTGGACTCTTTCATTGTTGTTCGAGTTTCTTGCATATCAGCTGTTTTCAAAACAGAAAAAATATGAAAACTGATGGAAATACGAACGATATATCCTGTCCGGTCCGGAAATGATACTAAAAGTAAGATTTCGTTTCAAAGCTATTCATTACGTTTGACGTATGCATGTATTAGAAGTTTCGTTTTAGTGAATTTTTATCAATTATTGTTATCGACGTGTTTATAGTTTCAACTTTTTCAACTCAATAATCTTATCATAAATGTAGAGATATGTAATACAAAAATCATTTTAATAAAATTCTAATTATTTTAAGGTGATTTTATCTAACTAAAAATGGAGTAACGTATACGAGTATGACAATTTCCCTTAAAGTATGATTATAAAATACCGTAATCGAAAGTTCAGCATATCCAGGTGAGGAAAAACAATGTGTCGCGAAGTACAAAAATAATTTAAACTTACTCCCGATCAAACAAGAAATTCTCCCAATTGAAACATTTTATAAAAATATTATCTTTTGTTCCCTGCTTGACGTATCACATGGAAGCTGATGCATGGAATTGTAACTAAACCATAACAACAGCTTAACTCCCATCGTGTAAATTCTGCCGTTTTAACAAAATCGCATTAACAAAAGTCACAAGTGACAAGACAGCTCGAAAATGCGTGATTGTAAAATACTCACTTTATCCGTTTATTCTCGTGCAAAGCTTCAACAAAATGCGAAGAGCAAAGGTTGCCCGTGTACTGTCTAGCGTCCTACTCAAAAGCGTAGACGCAACTGTTGATCTCTCGTCGTGTGATTCATCATACGATTTTCCGGAGTAAATGTCTGCTTCGTTACATGTGCACGAGAGGGTGCCTACGCGCGTATATATGGCGAACAAAGGAACTTTGTGCCGCACTTGAATTTTTTTATTCGTTCTCGGTATTCACTCGGTCGGTTGTTCTACGACACATCCACGTAATTAAGCCAGAGCTAGCGAAAGCCAGTAATTAAAAGCGTACGTAGGATAATTGTGGTGAACATGCCAAAGAATGGTCTTGTGTGCTGCTGACTGCAAATGTATATATGTTGTATCAGCCGGCGCCGCGTCTAGACTAGACTGCTGGACGCTCTCCTCTACCTCGTACAGCCGCGAGAATACTAACTGACTCGCGCACTCAGCCCGTCTTTGTCTGGCCTATGCTTGCCTCTGTGACTGCGCTTGGGGCGCCTTCTTGCGTGCCGTTCGTGTTTTGCCGGCGTTCCGGAGTCGAGCCTCCATTACAAAAACGAGAGGGGAGAGAGAGGGTTTGTGTGCGTTCGTGTGCAAGTCTATGGCCCTGCACGTGCGTACCGAATTTGCTTGCACTCTCTTTCTACACCTATCTCTCTCTCTCTCTCTCTTGCTCCCTTTTCTTCTCTCATGCAGGGAAATACCGGCAGTGTTGCTTAATTTGCAATCGAAATTATTCCAAGTCATATGTGTCGGCTTTTCCACTTCGCTTTGGCACATTTCTCATGCCGACCAAGGAAAAGAACTTGATGCGCCTTTACTTTGCTAATTGATTTTGTAACATCAGTATTTTTTATTATAATCTCAATTAATTCCTTTTTTTTTCTGAGATTTTTCTTATGAATGTATTATTATTGTATGTTATTGTATGATAAATTGTAATTATAATGTTAATTTTTGTAATATAATAATTCTTTTACATATAGCTTATTGATAAACATAAATATACATAAATATACAATTTCATGATATTAATAATTATAAGAACATAGAACATTTGATAAAAAAAAGTATCTTAATAAAACTCCGAACAATAAATTTTTCACTGGACTAGGGAACCACTCAAGATGCCATAACCCCTACCTGTAATCAATTCGTGTGGTTGAATCTTCAGTCTAAATTTATCTAAAAGTCCAAGGCAAATGACAAAAATAATATCTCAATCGAGCTGGTTAAGTTGTAAAAACGTTATTTGTAAATAATTAAATATCTAAATGCTATAGATATTCATAAGTACCGATTGTAAGGATTCTTTTGAGTCTATAGCTGAATGAATTCTTATTAAAACAATGTGAGTACGTAGGTGGCTATCGAAATATTTCATATTGATTTCACATGTTTTTAAAAACAATTTTATCGAAACTTCTCGAAAATTGTTGTTACCAATGACATATAAGCTTCTTTAAAAGTCAAATTAATTATTGTTTATAGATATTGTTCTACGCTTAGGATATTTTGTTTCTTTGCCTCAAGAGCATTGACTTCTAGGTGAGTATAAAACATTCCGAATTACATTTGTTTCATGAAACTCAAATATTCTATTCTATTTGTTATTGACAGATTTATACCTTGTGTTATCATAATATATAACTCCGATTACGCAACCATTAGATTCCGTGAAATTCAAATATTATCGCAGATCTGCAAGTCAATCACTGTAAACCAACTTAATTCTGAGTGGACAACTTTCTTCAAGTCGACAAATTACAATGCGGCCGTTGACTCCTTTTCAAAATGTGCAGAATAAAGTATCAGCAATAACGAATGTTGTCTTATTTTTTTAATCTAACTGCAATTTGTTCGCCTTCTCTTAATTGCACCGTCATCATCATATAGGAATTTATTCATTCAACTAAGTGATCGACATTCCTGATAGTCAGTCGCCGTTTGTTCCAATTTGTTTTCATTTTTTTTACAATAAAAATTACGTTACATTAAAATTAAGTTTTTGTAAGGTTATAGTATCATTTCAAATTTCGTTACTTTAATTTTTCACTGACAATTTTTCTTGATTAAATTTGTTACTGATAAATTTTATACATCTTATGTTACTTATATCACCGTATTAATTATTCGCGTACCTAGATAGTTATTATCCTTAAAAAGTTCATTTAAAATCGTGATTCCCATATGTTCAGGTCAAGTATAGAAGGATCCTTCGCGTAAAATATTCAGAAAATAAATGATCATCTCGCCTAATGTTCCACCCTTGTTCAGCTTAGTTATAAACACTATACGAAACAGTAATCTTTCATTTATTGAAACGCTCAATAACCGTGCTTATTGTGTTATTTTTAATGAAGTCAAGTAATTTTTAATTTACTAAAAAGTTAACGTAATTGTAGTACTGAATTTATATACACAATGTTTATTGTCATTTATGAATACGCGTTGAAACAGTAATATATGAATTGAATACATCCGTAATATGATATAATGCATAAAAACATACATAAATAACAAAAATCAATCTCTAACGCGAATAAATTCCCCGATCATTACTCAAGCATACTCAAGTAAAAAATGTAAGTTGCAGCTCTTTCGAAGAATAGCTGTTCCATAATTTTTTTGACGTTTATCCCACTGAAGGTATCCAAATCTTTTATCTCTAAATCCTCTATCATTTCTCTCCAAGGTATATATTGTCCCAGTATTGTCTGCTAGAAACGTTATTGTCCACCTTCTTTCAATCTCACAATGCAGCCTACAACTCTACTCATCTTTAAATATAGCAACGAATATAGATAGCTGTAATAACGGCATGAAAGAAAGAGCGTAAACATCAAGCATCTTCGGAAAGAGAGAGAATGGGGCTCAAGCGGGTTAAATGCTGGAGGGTGCTGTATCACTTGAATATTGTATTGTTCATAGTTATTCTATATATCCATTGATATATGTCACGTACTCATAAATTAATTAAAAAAATAAAAATAGCCGACTTCACATTCATTTTTTGCGATTACTCGCAAAGCTATGCTTCGATCAAATCAACAATACGAGGAATAATTCTTGGGAACATACTTTTTCAAATAAACACACTTCAATTAAAATCAGTTGAACCACTTCAGAATATGCGCCAACCTATATTAAAAAAATGTCGAATACAGAACCTTCTTCATTTTAAAGTCAGCAAAAACAATGATACACAGCTAGAAAATACTGAAGATGAAAATCTCAATGGTAAACAATCAAGAAAATAAATAATAATAAATAATAATCATGAGTAACATAAATATAATCTTTATTTAAAAAACCACACGGATAAGTACAAAACTAAAGTTGTCCGTTGCAACATTCTGTTCAAGTACGCGGCGTAGGCAACAAATGTTTAAAAATTATTTTCGAGAAACGATTTTGCCGAAAAAGCCGAAATTGATTCAATGCAAAATTATGAAGCTATTTTATCGAATCATATTTTTTCCGTGATACTATGCTTACACAGTTCTCTTATTATGATTATGACTTATTGATATGGCCGATATATTATACTAGCAATAAACTCTGAAATGAATATTCTACTGGTATTATTTATTGATACGACGGCTTGAAAATGATATAAAACGAGCAAATTAAGCAATTAAATCAAATGATACAAGGAACTGTTGTCACGATCTGTAATAAAATTGAATGAAATCAGTGATTTGAGTTGAGATCTTCGTGAGCGGGGTGAATAATTGTGAATCGTACCAAATTGCGTATATAGATTTATTTATTAACTAATATACTTATAATGAAGTATACTTTAACTCGGCGGAGCAGGCGCAGAAGAAGCAACTGTTGGCAAGACTCGAGTTCAGGCGAGAGTGTTGGAAAAATGTGATAGACCCCATGCTCATTTTACTTATTTAGGAAAATCGTAAAGCAGAGGGAAAGTCCCCCGTGAAGTCCGATAAAAAAGGGTCATGGGGTAACAACGAACCATGGGCGAGGATTTTACTTGGCGTAAACACGCCCTTAGTAACGAAGCGCGTAGGGACACATCTAACTTTATGACAGGGGCCCCATAAAGAAAGGATACCAATACAAAAAAGGTTGTTGACATCAAGTAACGTGTTTTTTTATTGCTTCGTGTTTTTTTTTTTTTTGCTTTTTTTCTAAGAATATTTTCTATTGGAGCAATAAGTCATTTGTTTAATTGCTTTACACGCCTAAAAGATAAACCTACAAACCTCTTTAAAGTATCTACCGAGATCTAAGAGAAAATGGACGCAAAAAATAGTACAATCCTTTCTTTTTACAATATGAAATTTTCATTATGCAGAGGGAAGGAAGCTCTCGTAAAAAAAATTCTTTTACCAACTATAGATTAAAGTTCTCGATTTAAACAAAAAGAGAAAAGGTTTTTATGAAACAAATATTCTTTATCTCAAGTATTTTAACGGAATATTAAGCATTGATGTGAGAATTCACACACGCACACACACATACACGCATTTTTTATTTTTATGAATATATATCGAAAAGTTTTAACATACAATGGTTTCGGCATAAATAGATGAAAAATCTTGTACTATTATTTAGTATACACACTTTAATTACATTTATATTAAATATATTTAATAGTATTTTTTATTGAAATCAGTCATAATAGTATTTTGTATAGAAAAAGTCATGTTTGATAAAAAGCAAGGGGCATGCGTGAAATCTTCCATTACCGCGACATTTTTTTCATTTTATTGGGTGTAGGCTGCATTGACTGTAGTTATAATAGGATAAATATGAGTAATGCCACTAAATTAGCAAAACAAACCAAAATACACAAAACCGTTTTACACCTAAATAATTTTAGACTAGAAGTATTTGAATAAGTATTTGAATAAGTATCGGAAGAGGAATATTACAGGAAAATGAAATGATAATAATCAGTATATGAAAAATGTACATTACGTTTATTAATAATTGTGTCTCGGTCCATGCGACGTTTCTTGTAAATATCAAGTGGATTACAAAGTGAGTTCGGTGCGTACGTATGCGTACGTACGACTCTTGCTTTTTTTCTTATGTATATTATAATGCAGTCAGTGTATGATTGTGTAAATATGTGAAAAGGGTATGGCGATCGCAAAGTGATCGGTTTGTTAATTAGAAAAAAGCGCTATGAAAAACAGCTGCGACAGTCTTGTCAACTGCATTTTTTTTTGGTTAATACTAGAATAAAAAGATAAAATCTCGAAAAGTTCTTAATAACCATACAAATCGGATAATTTTATGGGCTCGGGACTTACAAGACTCCTTTTAACTTTTAACCGATGTGTCTGTGAACTTATCCCGTTACAGGAAAAGACACAATATTGTTATACGTTTCTATATTAGTAAAAATCGCTGACAATATTATGTAAATTCCGTTTATTGTTCGTCGACGTATTTCTCGAGATAATTGTCTATTATTATTTTCTACATCGTTTCCTTTGATTATTCAACAAATAACGCTGACAAAAAGAATAATATATTGCGCGCTTCTGAATCAAATAACATATTAGTTTGACGGCTTTTTAAACGCTATGCAATAAGTGACAATTAATTATTAGTACGTAATTCATTCGCAATATTATATTTAGCTTACGCTCAGAATACAATCTATGGTCGTACCTTATCGGCAAACAATAAACCTCTACGACTCGAATAATCTTAATAATATATACACGGCACTTGGCTCATTCACTTTATTTCTCTCTCTCTCTCTCTCTCTCTCTCTCTCTCTCTCTCTCTCTTTATTTTTCTCACTGCTGTCTCTCATCAAATCAAACCACCACGGAGAAACTAATAAAACGCCCTTCGGCCTGCGACATGCAACAGATACCTGCCTGGACCTAAGTTTATTTAACGTAATCAGAATGACAAGTATTCCACATTATCACTACTACTAGAGTATCAACATTTATACATTTTACAACCAAATATCGGCGCATCTGACAATGCCATTATACAGTATTGACAGATGCGGTTCGATGATTCAATCGTGAGTCATTCTGCATTAAATCGATCACACGCTGCAACTTTGTCTTCAACATCATTTAGCTCAATATTTAAAAACATTCTCTTTCTCTAGAAGACTTTAATAATCAATTTTATCAATAAATAGCACGATTCACTAACATAAATAATTAGCATCTACTTATGCACTTAATTTTATAACTCCTAAAAAATTATAATGATGTAGCAATATTTCATCAGATTTAACACAAAACGACTCTCACGCATGCTCGGCTCATACGTTGGAGGTTGGACTGCACAATGAAATTCGATCTTCGTATTGGTCGAGTGTCCTCCACAAATGTACCTATAGAAATATACTGACTCCGATTTATAAAACGTCAATTATTACAAAACTCTAACGGATATCGGGTAATTTCACTTTTTCGTCTAGTCAAAAGTGAAATCTATTGATACGAACTATGAGATCAAAGCGATCTTGAAAATGGGAGCGATTATAACTTTAAAAAATTGTCCTTTCCTTTCTGATGGGTAACTAACACATCTCGAATAATCATGTCATTTTCTAGTGATGCCAACAAGACTTGACTGCATTATATAAGATATAAAAATTTTACTGTGCTTTCATATAAATAGTATATCTTGATTAAGTTACCATGAAGTAAGCACTTTAAAAAGATCAATTCACTTTCAGTATATTTTTTTCAAAAATGTTCTCTTATCTCTTTCAAAGTTGTACATTATTTTTTATCATTTAGTATTTAAAATAATTTTTTCTGGAATTTTTTTTTGCGTAAAATTTGAGAAGTAAGGTGTATTTACTCACGATCTGATAGTTACTTGATTTTTTTTTATTTTTAAGTGTTTTTCGCTTAATCAGGACGTTTTCATTAGCAGTTACACAGGCATACACATACAAAATCAACGATTCGAAAAGAAAATGCCTGCACTGAATAACAGAAATGATAACATAATATGACGCCGAATATACAAAGAAAAATTACATAATGGCACGGTTCTAAATTACACAACAAAATAAAAAATGCTAATTCGTCTTTGACACGACCTAATTATACATAAAGTATTTATTTATCTGCGATTATAACTTTTGAGATAACGGATAAATCAAAAGTTTTTGTACGGTGGTTGCACTATGAAAAAGGAGATAAAATGTCATGAGGTCTTTCTCATCGTTGTAAAGCCTTTGAAAATGTTTAGCCATGCCTGTTTTATTAAATAAAACTTATTAAATAATCCTATTAATAAATGTACATGCCATTCAGAAACAGTGGTTATGTTAAAATAGTTTTATATAGTTGAAAACAAAATGGCGTATGTAAATTGTCAAAAAAATTTTGCGTTAAGTATCATTACAATTGATACTAAACGTAAAATGCAGAGTATATAAATTAGGTTGTAATAAAAAAATATAAGATTGTCACTGGCTCTTCAAAGTGGAGAAAGTTATAATGTGCGAGTCGATGTACGTGATAAGTAATTTTAACAGTTCAAATTTAGTTATAATAGAAAGCTTTGAGCACCGTTGAAAAAAAAATTTGATTTACCAGTACAGCGTGAATAGTAAAATTATGTTTAGCTGGAAATAGACTGATTATCAACATTCAATATAAATAACGATAGCTGTATAAGCTCTTAGTACTATATCACTAATTGTCATAATTACCTAAGATAAAAAATGCAAATTTCTATACAATTGTTTGAAAAGAAGAGAAAAATTTATCGCCATTTTGTTATTTGAAAACTGGTATTTAATAGATTTTTCAAAAAAACATGTGATAACATGAAGTGTCATAAAACATATAAAACTATTCGCGACATTATCTTTACAGACAACGAACAAACAAAAATTAAACAGAAAGACACTATTCATTACGTACAGTAACTACGTAAATCATCGAAATAAATAATACGAACGGATAAATGAACGAAACAAGTTCGACAACATAACCTTGTGCGATACTTTTTTCTTAGTTGCTGCCACATTTGTCACGATAAAGCTCGTTTACATATTGTATGCCACGTAGATGGGGTCAAGTTGATCGGCTAGGAAGCCATCACGAAGGTGCATTCGTTGTTTCTCGCCGCGCGAGTTTATTGGCACGACACCTGGATCTACTACCACTACTACGCCAACAACAAGGTGGTGTTCCTCCAGCACTGCGCTTGTCACCAGAGCGACCAGGTCTAATGCTTCAGTTTCGCTACCGTCAAGTTCTACTACCACTACTAGAAGATTTGTCCACGTAAATACGGCGCTGCAATGAAAAAAATGATATTTTTATTATAATTCAATGTTATGTTAAGAATTAAAAATAGAGAGTTCATTCTTCAAATCAAAAAGTTATAAACTCATAATTTAAATTGAGCTGTAAATTAATACTACAAAGGAAACTTACCACTCGGCAATCTTTTTGTGGCATCTCATGACGCTATTCTCGATATCAATAGGATGATACCTCATGCCTCTCAGTAATATTGCTTCGTCCAGAGCTCCAACAACGAATACTGCATCGTGCAGCTCCGAATCTCCGTGAGTTACGTCGACTTCCAATGCTGAACTGTTATCACCAGGCACGTCGGGTCCTGTGTTTTGTTGCACGCATTCCGTACGCCTGAGGAACCCAAGGTAACCAGTACGCGCATAGACTTCGCCGGTATTACCGGTTACGAGTCGAGCGTTGAAGTGATCCGCGTAATCGCTTTCATCGCCATAGATGGTAAAATAGCCACTTGCGTTGTGTGGCGATTGTACCCAGATTTCACCCAAGTGCGAGTCGCCACATTGACCTTTGGTTTCGGGATTGGCGATTATCACTTTCACACCTGGCAGCAATTTACCCGATTCCATTAAGCACAGCGAGTGTGGCGAGCCTCGCTCGACAAGTGATACGCGATCGTTGCGCAATGCTCGAAGGTCTACGTATACCGTCGATGGTTCTGGACTTGACGCACCCTAGAAATTTGTTTATCACACGTTACAATGTTATCAAACTTGAATGCATAAAATGCACAATTAATAGTACACGAACCTGCAAACATATGGCCGTATTGACTCTGCAACCAAACGATGTAGACACTGCACGAGGACTCAAACCGAGAGATGAGAAAAGTTTGCTGAAGCTAGTGGTTAGTGCTATTCTTGGTCTTTCTTCAGCCACCACGACACAAGTTCTCACGCAAGCGAGACTCACGCCACGTGCTTTTAAGGCATGAACTGAGGATCCAAGGCCCTTTGTACAAAGTTCCATAACGCCGTAAGAGCAGAAGGTATCGCGAACCCTCGAGTGACTTACTGCCGAAAGCCAAAGTGCCGGATTGGCTTCAACCTATGAGCCGAACAATTTGTTTCATCAAATCAAGTTAACTGTTTCATAAATTAAAAGGTAAAAGTACTTACTTCCGAAGGAGGTATCAAAATAGAATGGTGTCCACTGTAGATACTGCTTAAACACCACAGAGCAAAACCCAATCCCGAGTAGGGATCTAAGCAAAGTGCTATGTGACGCGATGGATACAGTTCGCAAGCGAGCTTCATTGAGCGGCAGAGGGAAGTCACAGCTGCGTGGGACATTTTAATACCGGCTAACATGCCAGTGGTCGATACGCTAAAATCTAAATAGGCAAGCATCTCTGCGGTCGGCGCCCGGTACAAAACTGGAAGTTTCTTCTTTGGCATGTCATCCATGTCAAGGATCGTTGGCCAACTCTTAACTTCAACAACGTTGTTGGCCTCCTGTAAATGAGAACGATTGATCAATACAAATTCAAGTGATCTCTCTTGAGAAGATCTACGATTTACCTTGGATTTGAGCAGCTTCAAAATATTCTGATTGGTCAGAATGAGCACGGACTTGCTAACATCGGCGATCATGCGTACAGTAGGCAGTGTGGTTTGTAGATTTTGTGGATGAGGAGGACGAATGGTGACGGGTACGGCGCCGACGTAGAGGCAGCCGTAGAAGGCGCAAATGAGATCGGTACCAGGTGGGAAGAGTAAAGCCACGTGATCGCCAGTATTGATTCTACCACGATCGAGCAGAAGGTTGCCGATGCGCTCGGCTTTCTTGTGCAATTGCGAACATGACAGTGAGGATGCTACCGCGCCTTTCGAGTTCAGTGAGGTAAATATCACATGATCCGAGGTGCCGACTGCTCGCCATCGCAAAATCTCCGAGATGAATTGATACTGCAAAGCGCGGACTTCTTGTTAGTACGAGTCGTACCAAATGTTAATGTTTGTTCATCTCTTACCTTCTTGGCATTATCACTGTCCTCATCCAGGACACCCATATCTCTGCCCTGAGCAGAAGCAAGTCGATTACCCTGAACTATGTTACCTACCATGACACTGGCTGGACCAACATCTGAAACAGAATCCCCCGCTACACGCCCCGCGACCATGACGTTAGTAAACCAACGCAAACGCTCAAAATTCTCTTTTTTTAGAAGAGCAGCTGCACTTGACTCTCCTCTGACTGAGGCCGGAGAAACCGTGGGCTTAACTTTTACTTTTATTCGAACCATCATTTTCACGGCGACCATGACTTCTAGCCACTCTTTTTTTTTATTATTCATGGTGATCAGCCGTTGCTCGCAGGTTTGTATTTGCGTTAATGTCGTTATGTTGAATTATGAGGTGCGACACTGTGATCGTGCGGAAACTCGCGCGTATTTCATTTGTGTACTTTTAATCACGTGGATTAGTTAAAAAAAATTAAGTCGATGTTATTTACGACAGTTAATTTTTCCAACTTATCGACGCAATAAAGAAGTGCTCGAAATGATATACTGTGAGAGTAGCCCTGGATGCACAGCTTGTAAAGACTCGGGGTTTATTACGAACTCAGCCAAAAGAAAGAGGCAACCGAAATTTATGTGAAGAGAAAAACAAAAAATAAAAGAGAAACAAATAGAAATACATAGAAATTCAACAATTACCGACTAAATTTTGAAAGAATTGTGTGGTAGGTACAGGTGTAAACGAGCAAGGAAGAAGGTCAATCAACAAATGAGCAAAGTATATATGAATGTAAAACTGTAATAGCTGTTCGAAGTATTGTCACATAATCCTGCGTCATCGCCCACGATCGCTTCTACTAAGAGCCATCGTATTGGATTCGATCACCAGGGCCAAAAAAGTTTTTTTTATTTTTTATTGTCAAATTTTGTACTACTCAAAAATCAGCAAGTCTGCTCTCTAAATTCCATTCACTCTCATATCACTCAGAAAATTAAGCCTTAGTATCCGCAAATCTCAGACTGTCATATCAATATCATTAAATTCTAACGCTTTCAAAAGGACAAGTTTAAATCAATGTCGCTATAGAATTATGTGTATCGAGACAGCAATGATTTATGGTTTTTTATATGTTTTGTACATTGAATAAATGAAAGTTTGCGAAACACTTATAATGAAACAAGAGCATAATGCAGATGCTTTGCGTATGAAAATGACTATGACAAGACGCATTGATCAACCAATTGATAAGAATTATATAAGCCATATTCATTCGTAAAACATTGCGATAGTTTTCAAAAGAATGATCCTCGTTTTATTCAAGTGTTCAAAGTACATGATGTAATAGTGCAGGACTATTGCAAGCCATTCTTTTCAAAACCACACATATATAGACGAGTTCAGCCGTGAGCGTATAAAGGCACTATATCAAACATCTTAGTCTTCTAAATATACAAATTTCCAGCACTACGATTGCTCACAACTGCCAAATACACAGAGAATACTATCAGCCTCTAACATAAAACATTGCTATGTAAGTTCAAAAAATGATAAGATTCAATCACTTCAAACAAAATAGTACATTACGATTCAAGTGCGGGAAAGTAGATTCTTATCTCGTGTGGCGTTTACGCCCGAGCGAAACGAGGGTAGAAAGGTACACGAGACGAGAAATTCTTTTCCGAACATGCGCCGTACCGTATTTTTTTATACGACGTGTGGAAAGTGCGATTTTCAACGCACGTTTTCTGCAGAGCGTGCAAGAAAGACGCACTTTGCGCACGAAGTATCAAAAAATGACAATCGCTTTAAGATATGAGATACTAAGTAAGCTAAACAACTGAAGAAATGCTATGCGTCATTCACTCGACAATGCCCATTCATTCCGATTTGAGCTTTAGCGTTGGTTGACTTACCCGAATGAATCTCACGTGGCTTTGGCAGATTAGTGACACAGGTATGTGGGCAGAGTAGCACGTTGGCCGGGTGCAGCGTACCCTCGAGGAAACGCCTCTTCGTCTCGGATAAGTGAATGCCACCAAGTGGAGTCTTTGGGAGGTAGTTGGGTGGTACTAAGGCCAAGCAGTAGATACCCACTGCGTGAATCGAGTCGACTGCTTGCAGTACTCGGGACATCCATTGAAAACTCTATAGATTTCGAGCAAAATTCCAAATTAATACCAATCACGACTTTTACAAATTAATCATATTTAACAATGCCGATACCTCTTCTTCACTACAGTCAGGACGCTGCTCGGCAACAACGCATATTCGCTCATCTCTTAGTACTCTTACACTGAAAACAGCGATTCTTCCGCGGTAGATAAATTTCATAGGCTCAACTGCCAAGACTGTAGCGATGATATCATCTGCGTTGTGTTTTCGACCAGTGACAGTCATGAGGCCATCTCGTGAACCACAAACAAAGACAAGGTTGCCAGGACCGAGAAAACCAAGTAATCCAGAACGAACATACTCGGCATCACCGAGTTGTTGACCTTCGACTTGGAGCGGTACTACTTTGAAGTTGTTGTTGGTGAGACCTTGTAGGCCCCAATATTGTGTAGCAGTACACGAGCTATGTACGCAGATCTCGCCGACTTCATCGGTTTTACAGACTAGTGGTGGGCCTTCCATTTTTATCACGACGACGATACCTAGAAAGATGAGTAATGTAATCAGTCATTTGTTTCATAATTACCAAAAAGAAAGTTGAAAAAACTTACTTCCTGGCATGACTTGTCCACAGTCTTGCAGTGTGAGTGACGTAAGTGAATTCTCCTGATCGACTCTGACAACTCCATAGCTCAGTCCAGACATGCTGAGTACACCTCTACCAGTAGCATTAACTCCAGCTCTACCTGGCCTCCTGACAGAGACAGTAAGAGCTTCACTTGATGAAGCACATGGACACACAGCATCAGGTCGCAAGCCTTTTGACTGGAAGACCGAGAGGAATTGGTCGCACGATGACAATGACCATGGATTTGCTCCATCCGCTACGAGTAACAATCGCAACGTTGACAGCGATATATCTTTGTGATCCTTCGTTGCTAGTAAACCCCAATGTAGATCTCGTGACTTCACCACTGCCACACTGGCTCTGTGTTTGGTTATCATTTGCATCCAGCTCGCAGGATTCACCTTCATCAAGGCGTATGGGATGAAGATCACGTGCATACCGTTGAGAATTGCTGACAGTGTGCTATGCCATAGGCCAACCTCGCGTTTAAAGTCCAACACGCATACTGCATTTTCGCCTTCGGTGTAGCCGCAGGCCTGTGGAATCGAAGAAAAGTATCTATTATCTCTTTCATAATTTGTATACTTGGCATATAGTTTCAGTTTTTTTATTGACATTGACATTGAGTAACGTGTTAAACTTGAATGACTATCATCAAGTATTTTTTGGGATGTTTCTTATGTCATTAGCAAACAAACGATTAGCTATCTTAGAAGCCTAGCTATACGTACTAAGAAAAGCTGAATGTATATTTTAAGTGCAAAAATGTACATTAAATCGTCGAAACATTATTCTCAAGTGAGTTACAAAAGACTGCTGACATTGCCCTCACACGGAAAAATAAGTACACACCTGAGTGAGTGCACGGCAGTGAGCAAGCATGGCAGCCCGCGTGACGGTGACACCCATCACCGAGCCATCCTTGTCGGTGGTGTACTCGATGTAGGCCGGCGTGTCGTCCGTCAATCTTGACGGTGGCATCCAGTCTTTGGGCGTTTTGCCCAGATGCTCGGTTACAAACCAATGGAGCTTTGGCCAACCCTTGAATGCGACTACTTCGCCCGCGCTTGTCTTTGGCAGATTTTTCAGACACGCTTCGCTCGTTAGTGCCACCTAAAAATTTGGAAGCATCGTATGCTTGGTTTTATTTGCTTATTGATATAAGCGTTTGGTTTTTCTTATGAGTTCCGCTTTTTTCCCCGCCTTGTTTGTCGGTATAATGCTATCTCAGTTTTTTCTTGCATCACGCGCAAGAACAAATCCCTACGCAGTGCATTCACCAGTGTTCGAGCGCTCAATTATTAATTATGAAAATGACGATAAGCTCACTATCAAATAAATAGATTTGCACTTGCAAGCATGACTACGAGTTGATTTTCTATCAGTTTATAAATAGCAAACAGTAAATCTTGTGTAACTGTAAAAATCAAGATTTGACTTAGCGTAACTTCAAGGAAATATAAATTTGTGATTTCTCAGTCGCAGCTGCGTTAACATGACTTTTTAATTGCGACTTAAATCACCCATTCAAGAAGGCTCTCATCATACCACGAGAGAGATAAGTATCCTTAAAGCAAAGAGAGGTAGAATTATCTGGCAAAAAAGCGCGAGTCGTAGGCGACGATCAAGCAGTCGAGTAGTAGCACGAAGTGTCCTGTAATTTACCTGTATGCCGCAGCTACCGAGAAGGAAGCCAATCTGTTGCGAGCCGGCGTCTCGTCGCGTGAGCGGCACCTCGATGGGCACCGGCACGATGCCAGCCTGCAGGCAGCCGTAGAACGCGCAAATGAAGTTTATCGGGTCGTCGTTGGGGTAAACCAGCGCGATTCGATCGCCGGGCTTGAGGCAGCATTCGCCAACTATACGACTGAGGGCTTTGTTCAGCAGCGTGTAGGCTATCTTGTATGAGCGACTCAGCAGCTTGCCGTAGGTCAGCGTCACGCACAGCTTGCCGTTCGGGTCCAGTACCGTTGCCGCCGGCGCTTTGTACGACGACGTGCCGTACCTGCAATTTCATTTTCTCATGTGTACGCTCGCTCTCCTTTTTTACACAGGTACGCATTCAAGTGCTTCACATTCGAACTGTGATCAACGTTATTGTTCGCGCTGTCTGAAACTGAAATGGCAATATGGGGCGCGGGAGGGGGCGGGGAGTAAAACCGGTTTTGCGTCTCTTTAATGTCGTTCTCGCCAAAATTAAAAGTTAAACAACGGCGATAAACGAGAGTCGACAGGGATGGTAACGACCGCGCAACTGATTTTTCAGCAGCCAGCGATAGAATCACACCCGACTGACCTTTGAATGGCAGCTTCGACGGATCTCGGCAATCCAGAAGGCACAGACAGCGATTCGCCGACAGCCGGCGTCATCGTTCCACCCTCGGGCTTCGGGGCATTCGGATCTTTCGGATTCGCCGCGATTTCTAGCTCGATGTCGTCGTCCTCGTAGAACTCGGGCAGTGGCCTACGCTTAGGTCTCTTCAGAGTGTTCAGCAACTGCTGGATCTTCGCCGACACCTTCCATCTGCCTGTCGTACCTGTGTTGTTCTCCTCGACTACGTGATACCTGTTAACTCTGTCTGCGCCTGCGGAGAGCAAAGTTGTCAGCCGACAAGCGACGAGCGAGCGACGACATAAAAAAAGAAAATTGCCTTACCTGCCGGTCTTCTCGACTGCGTGGTGGTGTGCGTGACATCGGGGGGCTGCACGAGATTGCAGTAGGAGTGTGGAGTGTACTCGGCGATGTCGGTGATGTCGGCTGGCGGCCTTCTCGCAGGCGGTCTCGGTGGTGGCGGCGTGTCCCTCGCCGAGCCCGTACTACTTGTATCCGATAAGCCAGTCCCAGTCGGACCACCAGCACCCGGTGATTCCTCCGTGGCTATGCTGTCTTCGTCGCTGCTCGAGTCGCCCGCTACGTTCGAGCTGATCCTCTGCTGCTGCTGACGGTCCGGACTACGTGCCATCACCGACGTTCGCTTCGATGGCATTGGTAACGAGGGCTTTGGTCGACTCTGCATCGCTGCCAATGCCTGTTGCACTGCTTCTTGGCGCACCTCTGTCGGACGGGTCAATGATTTTTATTAGTTTGCGTACATTCGCGTTCAAGCGATTTATTTCTCATGGCAACTTCATTAGAGCCTGCCAAGTATTATGAATCCATGATTTCTTTGGTATTTTTACTTTAAAGAGTTTTCATATTTTTGTTACTCCGCTCGCGACCAAAAATTTGCCGCGTTTTTGAAATGTAATATAGTTTTTGAATTACAGAAAAATTTCCTTTATCTCAATGAAAAAGACTCTTAATTCAAGAATAAAATTGATTATTACTAGAAAAATGTTCTCAATTTTCGGAAAATTGATTTGTGTACGCGACTAATTGCAAAATTGGAATAGCGGTGTATTATTTTAATATCACCATAACATCTTGACTTAATTTTGTCTGATAAATTGCTGCAGTCTGCATTATAACAAGACGTTTAATGTTTCATTTTGTGTATCGTCGTACCCTCTTACGACAATAAATTATTTCGTTTAAAAGCAGTGAAGTATTTATGAATTGCAAATTCGCATTTTTTTCAGAAATAAGGCTACTGGCAATGCATATATAAAATAAGGTAAAAATAAGCGGCAGTCGGCTATACCAACGTATTATTCTATAAGATACGAAACATAAATGTACGATGCAATATAAAATACAATACGCAGATCATAATTTATCGTTTGGCGACAAAAAAAGAAGAACGTCGAAAGCTTTAATTTATGAGCATGAATGCATATGCACTGTCGCAATACGAATGTTAATCAAATTGAGATGTACGTCAGTTTTCACTGTTTTATTTTTGATTTGTATGACCGTGTACAGCGGTAGGTTTCAATTTGAAGCAACAGATTGATTTGAAGCGAGAGTCGGCAATTCTAAATTGAAGTGAAGAAAGAGCGACGACGTCCTCGCCGCGTGAAACTTTCAAGTAGAGCTTGTGTCACGGTGCAGATTTTCGCACATTAGAAATGCGTTTGCGAAATGCCGCGGCGCGTATTATTTCCAATTTGCCGTCGATTTTCCGCTTGCCAATGCATGCGAGCGTGCAAAAACGCATTAAAACGACATGACCTACATACGGGCGTATCTATTAGCCGCTGGAAATTATGACACTTTTCGCATGAGTTTAGTTTATTGCACGGCTTTTCCTGGCAAGAAATTGCTACTGTCTACGCTCGGCGAGGCAGAAGATGAAAAAAAAACAGCTCCATATAATGAAGTCGTTTATGATAGTCTTTGAGGTTGGTTATCTACGAATGGAAAAAAGAAGAGTTACTGTCGCAAACGCTACAGTCGACTTCATTAGCAAAATTATGCGGAGAGGACGTATTACGTCAGAGAATTTCAAAATCTTATATTGTTTTACAGAAGAAAGTGAAAATTATATCGCTAGAGCGAGAAGAAAAAAAAAACAAGGTGGCACGCATCGTTTACCGACGATCGGAGTGCAGAGCGCGGAATTGTCCTCCGTCGGCGTCGCGTAACATCCTTCCGCGGCGATCGAGAAACACCGCGGTATTATACGTATAATTGCAGCCCGGCGCGCTATCGATCCTCGCTCACGGGGCGTTCGCGACCGCAGCCGCGAGACTGGCGTCGGGCGACGTTGCGAAACCCGTATACTCTCGCGACCTTTCTCGGGCGAGCGACTTTCGCTGCCTACGCGCGAATTTTCGTCCTTTGTCTCTCTTTCTCTCGGCGGCTGCGGCGTCGGCGGCAGCACGCGTACATATGCACGCACACTCTCACTTTCCGCGAGAGGAATGCCGCTCTCCCGACATTCCTTCTCGCGCGCGCGTACTTTTCAGATTGTCATGTTTTCCAAGACTGGTTTCGCCGATAGATTTCAGAGGCTCGCACGCGGTAGTTACCTTTAGCGCGCATCGACGCGGAACGACACAATTATAACGATCGCCTCGCTCTATCCAGCTTTAACGTCTGACCTACATTCAATATCTGCAAGTATTTTACAGATGTTGACGTGGAATGTGCATGCGCATTGACCAACTGGATATTTCTCATTATACAATGGGGCATTCTGTAAATAACTGTCGGTCGATCCAAGTCGATTATCCATTATTAATAGACGACGATTACTTTGCAATTATCGAATAGTTGGAGCGTCAAGTGGAGAAGTCAGATGTGCACGAGGATTCTTTGGCTAATCATGTGATCGCCGAGAATGAGCCGCATAACCGCACGGTTACACTTCTCTGTTTGCTTTCGACGCTGCGCCGATAAGTCAATCAGCGGGCTGTAATTTCATGCGCTTGTCGAATGATTTAAAAATTAGCGATGCTCGTGCGCAGATAAACACATCTGCGTGGTTCTGACGGGGAGCCCGGCTACAACGAATTACACGGCACTGACAACGACGCGTCGACTGCGCTTTTCGGGATTACCCCTCCTCGGCCGACGGTCGTACAAGCGTTCAGCGAGCTCCCCCGCGCATCGCAGCACGCAACTTCTCGAGAGAAAAAACAAATCACTCTGCATTGTTCGCTTTAAACGAAGCGTCGACCTTAAAATAAATCAGTGGCAGCGCAAAGAGAGAGAGGGAAAGAGAGAGAGAGAGAGAGAGAGAGAGAGAGAGAGAGTGAGAGAGATAAAATAAGGCTGCGAGGATCTTCGGAGCAGGTGAGAGTTGCGCAAAAGTTCAATTAGCGCGACTGGATGTTTGCCTGTGTAATTGCGCTCCCCGTTAAAGGCCGTGAGACGCGCGTGCGTACACGCACGCTTTTGCAATGCGCTTCTCTGTTTTTGGCCAGATCGACGACTTTTGTGTGACGCGTCACTTGTGTGCGCTGCCGCGATTGCGTAACGCCGCAGCATCTGTTATACCCTCCGCGTCACCCAAACTCGTATGTTTGGCCAATGCGCTCTTTTCTCTGAGAGCCAATGTCTCGAAGGTGCGTTCGGGAACACTCAGCTTTAAAGGAAATTTGTGCGCGGCTATAACGCCATTTTTCGACTGAAAACACACGTCGCGGTCTTGCAAAGAATTTTCGGAGCGGCGCATCGTAAATCTACTGGTGTGCTAAGGCGCAACCTGAAATTTATGGTTTTTCAATGTACTCGTGTGCAACGACATAAAAAAAGCACAGGAAAAAATATAGGAATATATATGTATAGTTATTACAACACACAGCTGATTTTAAATAGATACGATCATAAAAAAGCTCACTCGTTTAGGCATTCACACCGAGTACGAATTCAAATAACAGAATATGTCGGTACACAGTAATCACGGAAAGATACATATAGAATACAAATATAAACACCAAAAAAGATGGACAATTGACGTAAAAAAAGATTAAGAGGAAAACGATGAAGGGGCAAACTGTTTCGTCGTGGTCGTAAAAAAAAGAAAATGCGCCGCAAGGGAAACCACAAAAGGGTATATACCTAACGTAATGAGAGGTGTCGGTTTATTCTTGTCGTTGCTGTCTGTGTGCGTGTACTCACCGGAATGATAGCGACTCTCATTGCGCGTGAGCCTGCGGTTGCCGCGTCTCTTGGCCGCCGAATTCGTGTTGCCGGGGCCGACGACGTGCAGGTTGCCGCCGCTATGGTGGTTATTGTTGTTGCTGCTGCTGACGCCGGTCGAGGCCGATGAATTGACCATAGGCCGGCCCCCTATAGGCCATGCAATAACAACCCACATTTATCTCGTGTTTTTTGCTTCTACTATGCCGTCCTAACTATTTCCCTTTTTTTTTGGCTTTTTCGCGATTGAGATTATGTTCTATTTCAAGGTAAAGTCTAGTACCGATTTTTTCTTTTTTTTTTTATTACCCGAAATTGTGTTAGCCTGAATTATGCATCTTACTAGTGTCTTTTGCGGTTTAAAATATTTTTTTTTGCAAAAATTAAAATTTTTGGAATGACATTTTGCCGTTCTTATTATTCTTGTATGAAAATACGGAAATTCCGGTTCGGTCGTTTGTCAAATATAACCATAGGGACCAAATAAAAAACAAAACGGTAGAGTGCACAAAAAAATGTAGTGAATATCTTTAAGTTTAAAAAAAAATGCGAATAACAAAATTAAGCAGCGTAAATCGAATCACAAGCGTTTCCTAAAAATCGAACGAAATCCAATAAAGCCAAATAAACAAATAATTGAATAATAATTAAAAATAATGATAAAATAATAAATGAGGTAAAATGAAAGATAATTGTTAATAACATAAAGAAGATAAATAAAAGAAGCAGAGCCGACAATAAAATGCATGGAGTATGAAAGCCAAAGAGAAGAAAATGCCTAGAAAAAGAAGAACCGGCAGAGGTGTTTTACACCCAGTGTACGGAGATGATATAGAAGAAAGCCTTGCCAGAGAGGAGAGCGAGTAAAAAAAGAAGTAAAAGCGCAGCTGAAAACAAATAACAAAGAGCGGAGGGGGGTATTCTCATCATCTCGTACGGCTATAGCGTAATATAAAAGACACGAGTAGAGATATGACTTTTCTTTCGCAGATGCGCGTTTTTCTTTCTTTTTTTTTTCGATATGCAAGCAATAGTGTGGGTATGTATGGTAGTACTCTCGGTCGTCTAATAACTTTGCACGGCGAGCGACCGCTTTATATGGCGCTCCGTTCGCGAATATGCTAATCGAAGCACGATTTTCTTTTGGCTAAATGACTCGAGACGACTCTGCAATTGCGCAAGTCTGTGCTTCAATTAGGACGATGCTTGCTGCTCTTTTTTCCATCTCGGCCACTAATTGATTTCTAAGAGTGTGCATTTGTCTGTGATCGTGTTGTCGTTGTCTACAGAAAAAAAAAATTGGTTCGTCCATTTTTTTTCCTCGGTTGTGTAATAACGCACAATTGCAATTAATAACTCAATAAGACAAATGATGGTACAACACATATATAAGATAGATTAATTACGTACACGACACGAAGCTCAATCATATACACAAATAAATTAATTGACTATATAGCCTAGTGTGCACGGAAACAAAAAAAAACCATGCGACATACTAATGATTCGCAAAACTCAATCGGGATTGCCAATTAGCTTGATTATCGAAAAAATACAGCAAGACACCGAGTGAATTTTTTGTTCTCTATTCGCAACAAAAGACAAGTCGCTAATAATCGAACAACAGACACACAGGCTGACAATGTCTACCTGAGTGATAGCGTTTCTCGGAGTGAGTGACTCGACGTTGAGTACGTCGAGCCCTTGGTTGAGGTCTTCCGCCAATACCACCACCACCAGCACTGCCACCACTGCCACTGCCGAAATTCATCTTCTCCAAACCTCCGCCAGTGCTTCCGTTATTACCGCTTCCTATTAGCCCCAATATACATGTTCTTTTTATAAACTTTCTAAATGGCATTTCGCGTTCGTTGATGTACAAGCTGCTTCGTTTGTTCGGGCAAAAAATAAAAAAAAAGGCAAACACACACAATGTTATGACGAGAAAAAACTTTATTTCGTTGATGACAATCGGTAAGCTCGATTTATATACACTTGGGGGGGGGGGGGGGGGGGGGGGGGGGGGGGAACTTGCACGACACAGCGAAACCCGCGCGATCTAAAGAACACTTTGCATTTGCATGCATTAACGAAATACGTTTTTTGTATCGTCGGCAACGTTGATACAAATAAAAATAGTGGCGAACGAGCGGCTAATTTATTTGTCAAAATACGCCGATGCAGTGAAATTAAGTAGCCCCGACAGCTCCGAGATAGTCGACATGCGAGAGATTGTGACACAATTTGCAAACTCGCTCGAAGGTAGGGGAAGATATTTCTCAGCGGCGCGTATCATTTATCAGCGCATACGACTGACGGCTCTATACAGACGTTTTCCAGATCGGCTCGAGCGAAAGAAAGAAGCTGTGGAATCCGGACGAAAAGCCCCGAGATTATCAGTTGCGCGCTGCAGCACTTTGTTGCTGTGCGTTCGTCGCTGCATTGAGTTTACTGAACGATTGTATTTTTTCTTTTTTTAATTTTGTTTCTCTCCGACGGAAATATCAATTGTACGTCTGTTTTGCGCGTAGGAAAACTGTGAATAACAAAAAAAACATTTTTATATTCATCGCGCAACTGCAAAAAATAAGCTTGCGCATTAGCGTAACGTTGCCCTCATTTTCTAAAACTGACCCGCCAAAATAAAAAAAACAATAACTATCAAATACTTTTTCGCGGCTTTGTTACGCAAAGAGTATAAATAACAGGCCAGCCATACAAGAGAATAATAACAATAATTGTGATTGGAGTGTCGGGTCACGTAAGCATTAAGACATCAGAGAGCCAGTTGTTTGCGTAGAAAAGTATTAGTTCATTTATAAGCACGCAGTTAAATAGACACAGCGCCCACCGTCGTTATTATACGTATGCGCAAGCAGTTGCAGCAAATCAGTAGAAATCAGAGGAAAAGCTCTGGTTCATGGCGTTGTTGCGTCGAACGGGGGCGACTGGATTTTGAAAAAAGAAAGAACTGTAGTCCGAGGAGTCGGGCAATCGGCACGCTTGACGAGGCCACGCTGCTGTCGAGCGAGCGGAATCCGAGAGATCGAGGAAGTAAGCTCGCTCTCTTCCCTCGTCTCGAGTGCGCGAGGCTGGCCGGAAGGCCGCGGATTGGCTCCTCGCGATGCCGAGGCGCGTACGAAGAGGCCTACAGCGACGCACGCCTAACCTTGACTGCGCGTCCATCGAGGAAAAGTCGCAGCTTCGCGAGGTGTTTTCTTCCTTGCTGAAACTGGATAGGCTTTTCCCACATGTAGCGAGTGAAAGGTAGCAAGCGGCAGCTATGGGAAGAGACGGCCGCGAAAAATCGCGAGTCGGTGGTTGGGTGCATCGCGCCTCGGGATCGGCTTATGTAAAAGGCTCTTCCGCGTGTCTAGGTGCAGTTAGCCGCCGCCAGCGTATTATAGAGCTCGCGCTCTCTCCCTCTCTCTCTCTCTCTTCTTCGACTATAGATATATACGTGACGCGCATGCCTCTAACTCTCCGCTGCTTTGTGACTCTCGGGAATGCCGATTGCGTGTTTCTCTCCTCTCCTGTGGGCTTATATCCGATTGATTGGTTTTTCGGGCGGCCCTTTGCAATTGACAAGCGTCGCTCGTTTATTCACTCGCTGGAGATTTCGAGGACGCGACGCGAGCGCGAAGAAAGTCGCAGCTATTGGCGTACGTGGAAAACGGCAGTGCACGCGGTTTTTAACGATTCCTCAACAGCCGGTCCGTTATCGTAAATCAATCATCCGGCCCAGCTACAATTTAATAGGTTCCGATACTCCCGATACTATTCAGAAGCAGAACTGCGGATCCGTGCATATTTCACTTTGTTGGCACGAGCGAGCAGCCGGCGCTCCGTCGTGATATGAAAGGGAGCCTGCGATCGCGTCAACGTAACGATCGCTCTCTCGGATAAAATGGCACTGTGCAGCGCGCGGCGCGCGCAACAGCTCGTGGCGCTTTGTTTTTTCGTAAGAACGCTCGCGGGAGGACGCCAGACGAGTAATTGGCCTTCGGATCTCCCCGCGACAAATTGCTCGTCCGCTCGCCAATCGCACGATCGCATTGCTATCAGCGAACAATGGCGATCGATGGGCTGACCTTTCTCAAACGAGTGCTCAAACTCAAAGTGGCGACGACGGAAGCCATCGCGCGTCTTCCGCGGCACAGCTCGGATGATGTCGGCCGGCTCGCGCGACCACACGGAGGCCGAAATCTATCTGGATCGGCGCTTTCTTTTCCTCGTGTTTCTTCGATCGAGAGAGCGACTCGCGCGCGTTACGCAAAAGCGCGCCGGCCGAATGGGAAGAAGGCGCCTTGACTTGCAGAGAGAGAGAGAGAGAGAGAGAGAGAGAGAGAGAGAGAGAGAGAGAGAGAGAGAGAGAGAGAGAGAGAGAGAGAGAGAGAGAGAGAGAGCAGAGGCTCGCAGCCGCTGGCCCGCGAGTGACCGTAAAAAGCTAATTGCATGCCTTGATCCGCCGATGGCGCATTATGTACCGCGGCTTGAAAAGCAGACGGCGAAACTGTTGCCTTTAAAAGTAAACATAAAGCTCGCCGTTCGTCGGCCAACGCGACGACACCGCTTGCCTCCTGGCTCAAATTGAGACGTCCGACGCCTTTGCTCTTCGCGCCTGTATTTCGCGCGCAATTGAAGCCACTCGAATGCGTATACAAGCGCGGAGAGCGCCTCGTCCTACGCGTCGAGCTTCGAGCGACCGTCGATAAAACGCGAACGCACGCGCGAATCCGGTTTCTCGAGAAATCGAGCGGTAAAGAGGGAAGAGAGATCGAGAATGGATCGATCGCGCCGATCGCCGTGCATTTTCGTCGGCGCGATTTTTCCAACGCCGCGCGCGCGCCCTTCTTTCTAACGAGCCTCGATGCTCGCGCTTTGCATACGCGATATGCGCGTACATTTATACACGGTCTGATTGCGATTGCCGCTGTCTCGCTGAGAAAGGGACTAGTTTTCGGAGCGCGAATGTGCATTCGCGGAAGGATTGGCAATCTTTGATTAAACATTCGTACGCGCGCCTGCAATTATCGTTTTGGTATGGAAGAAAAAAGGGAGGGCAAGATCAATTGGACAGGCGGTTCGAAGGCAACCTTTTACGATGGAATTTCAAGGGAAACCATTTAACTTTATTATAGGTTCTCGCTCGGGCCGAGCTCGCGCATTATCTTTAAACGATGATTATTTTTACACAACTATTTTGCGCCGCGCGCCGCTTTAATTTATTGCTCTTCCTCGATCGATGGGGGCGCGCGCAACGCCGCTCTTCGCGCTCGGCAACCGTTGGCTGTTATCGAGGCTTTACCAAATTGTTTTTCTTGCCGACGCGCCCGCCGGCGCGCAAACGCAATTTCGCTCTTTCGCCGGCGCGCGCGCGAACAAGAAATCGCGCGAGCGCTGCGCCGCGACTGGCCCGTAGTTAAAAGTCAGCGGCACGTCACTCGTCGATGTCCCCTACTGTTAAAAGCTCGAGCGCAGCCTGCAGTTTTCTGCGAAGCCAGATGCTGGCGACGAGTTTTCAGCCGACGAACGGCTGCCCGGCCTCTCTGCCCAGTTATAGCACATTTGGCTCTTCTCCTTTTGCGAGCGATCTGCGCATAAGTGACGTTGGCGCTTCGAGTTGTCTTACCGTGATGATTTCATTTGACGATGAGATTGTCGAATGTGAAATAAAAGAAAACGCAATCGTGGATGCCAATTAGAGGAAACGACGTGTAAAGTGAAAATTTAATGTGCAAACGTACGTACTACTACAGTTACTGGGGGAGGGGGCTTCACAAAATTTTTCAATATACGTTTCGAATTTACACACGCAACGGATTGTGCAATATTTTACATTGTGCGCTTCGTTTTTTTTTTTTTTTTTTTTTTCATCACCCATGTCATGCAACATTTTTACGAATAAATCGCTGATAATTAACCGCGCTCTTCGATTGTTTTTTGTACTTCGCTCTTTTAATTATTTACAATGCATTTTAAAAGAGCGCGGTTTCACTTTGCAAGGAAAGTACTCTCGTTGCGAAAGATACGCGCGTGCGCTTTTTTTGTGCGCGAGAAGCATTATAATGTCGTGAGAATCGTGGTGGCTAAATTAGACCCAGCTACTCGTTTTTTGTCGTAATTAACAACGTTAAACGCGACGCATCGCCGTAAAAATTTTCATTCTCTTCCTTATTCGTTCGCTCGCGCGTGCATGTATACCGCAGAAGACAAATCGTATCGTTCAATTACAACTAGAGAGAGAAAGCATACGTCTCGGATCCCGCGGTTGCGCAACTTTTCCGGCACGTCGTGCAAATGTAACATCGATCGTTGCAAACGAAAAATGATAATCATGACATTGAAAACATTGTTGCGGATACAGCACTAGCGTCGATCATACATTTCAAGCTGTGCACTTCAGTTGTGTTCAGCGCTTACGCACACTTTCACGCACACGAGCGCCGCGCGCATAAGAAACGAGTGATTAATCAGCAGGAACTTTCGCGAGGCGAACATTTTGCGCTCCTCGAAAGCCCAGAGATCATTGTCTCCTTCCTCCTCTACCTTCGCCGTTGCTCATATCAAAAAGTTCAACGAGGCATGACAAAAATTTTTTGCGCAACCACTTTGCGCATTTTAATGTTGCCGGTGCTGCTTCTCATCGATTACGACATATGCGCGTGTGCGAGTGCTGTTTTCACGTAGGATCGGAGTATGGAAGAGAACAAATTAAACGCGTATTGTACGTTGGAAAATGGAAGAATTCTCTATGCCGAGAGGTGTCAGTGTCTCGTAATCAAACGGCATCTCCAGTACATACTGTTTCTCTCGCGTGCGCTCACGTATGTGTGCTTTTTTTCAAAGTTTACTGCTGAGACTACATTGTATTTCTATTGTAATTTGTAATAAGCACGTATTAAATTGCAGCACCGTTCGTTCACTCATTATGTGGCACTCGAGTGGGCAAAATTAAAATTGAATAAGTAACAACTCGCGTTAGAGTCCGAGTGAGTATATTGTAACAATTTATTCTGTAACGCCGCGATTTTGCGCAAGCTAATAATAAAAAGAGAGAGAATTAATGTGTTCATACTTCGGTTATTTTATAAGGCACACATCAAAAGTTAACATATAGGCCAGTTAAAGTCCTTAAGTTTCTTGACTGGTGTACAATGGAAAGCGAAGAAATTTCCGCAGTTCCACGAGCACGAAAACCGCAAAACGCGTAGATTGATTCGAGAGGAAACCAATGGAGACGGAAAAGAGGCGAAATAGTTTTTCTTCAAGGACACCGAGGCTGTTACGTAAATAGATTTGCCTCTGCATAAATCTTTCAATTAACGCGATTGTGCTCCGCTTTTTCACTCGAGATTCTAGCTCATTTTTCTTCGGCACCACGCGCGCACACACACATTGCCAACGAGTTTTTCAACTGCCGACTTCTTTAACGTAGCTCACTGTTTTATTTTTCGTTGATTATAAAAATATATTATAAAAATATATCATGATGGTGCTTGACAATGAAAAAACAGCTATTTACAATTACAAATGATTGTTTGATATGGCATGTAAAGTTATTGGTTCTGTGCCATTATAATATGGTTTTTATTGATGGCATTCATTAACTATTATGTACTTTCTTTACAGTCAAAGTAACGAAACTTGAATTGGTTTATCCAAAACTTATTCTCCAACTGTATTAATCGTAAAACTTGAGCCTTTACATTGCAGGAAAGACCTAAACTTTCGCACTTAAAATTTCCCAGGTAAATTTGCTGCTTACTCGGCGTTTAAAAAAAAAGCGTAAAATCGAATTTCAATAAAGAACAAAAATGCGACAACAAACGATCCACTTGAACAAAAAAAACGGCTCGACTCGGCAAAACTATAGGCACGCCAACATTCTTCGAGACGCTCGCGTCTCGTCGTGGCATTATATTATTATGCATTGCAGACAGGCTGCCGTAATAAGCCGTGTCTTGTTTTCCTTCGTCATATTCAGAACGCAATTGCAAAAGAGCTTTGTCCTTTTTCTTTTTTTTTATTCATCGCGGATGAGTACGCATAATGGATATGTAAATAGCGAGCTGCTTAGTCATATAACACATCGATGACGAAGTGCCGCCGATTCGAGAAAGAAAACGGGACGGTCGCGGTGTCAAGGTTTGCGCATCCGCTAAAATGTTCTAGCGGCCTCGCAACGCCGATTATTATCGAGTGTCCCGATTGCGCTTTCGATGTTCGTCCTGGCCTAAATGCATCCCGCCGTCGGGATTTATTAAAAACCAGTTTTAGCGGCAATTAGCGCTTGAAAGTAGTTCGCGTCTCCCGGCCGACACGAAGCATATCGCGCACAGACACAAAGCGAGAAAAGAGAAGATGACCAAATTGCATTGAGAGAGTTACAAACAACAAGCCATGAACCAGAGAGTAATATACGCTCAGACGTACAGGGGAGTGAGAGAGAGAGAGAGAGAGAGAGAAAAGACTAGAAAGAGATGCTCACATGTGTACACGAACAAATAAAGAACTCACCGAGCTGTTTCGACGCATACTGCTGGAGTAGTCGCGTTCGTTTCTTCTCGTAGCCTTTTTGCGTGATGTCCCCTGGAACAGATCAAAACGAATTCGTGTTTTCAAACAATATCGAGTGGGAAAGAAAAAGAAATAAATGCGTCGCCTTTACTTTCACGCGTATGCACGCGTGTCATGCGTACACTTGATAGGTTGAAAACTAGAAAGGCTATTTTCTCTCCGATAGCGCGCAGCCGCTTTCTCGGATTAAAGCGATCGCGCTTGTGCGCAGGGCGCGTTTCCATCTGTCGCATTCAAATATTAATGAAGCTGGACACTATCGGATTATGTCACATTTGCCAAGGCATTTTCCACGCTGAAGCGCGTCACTACGCGCGGTTTCGAACAATAAAGATTAGAGCGCCGCGAAAATTCTCTTTAACTCTTTTCAAATTGACGTTTCAGCTATCCACGACGACGAACGCGGCTTAATCGGAGGGGAGCCTTACGCGGAATTCCACGCGCGCTAAGCCGACTCCTATCGCAAGAAAGTTTGTGCCAGTTCGCGATAAAGAAAATGCCATGCATTTGTCGCGTCGCGCGATTCATTCAAACGCACGCGTAATTTGATTCAACTGTAAAAAGAGATAGACGTGACGTAGAAAGTAGTTCAGACAACGAGGGACGACGTCCTTCGCGCGTTTTCGTCGAAATGAAAGAAAGAAAAAAGAAAAACAATCCAGGACAACGACGCGATATTTTATCATATATACGATGCGCTCGCCTATATATATGTACGTAACGGTTGTTGTGACTTTTTTTCTACAGCGATAACTGGAGTGTGATTGCGTTGTTCGTCGGCAAGGGGATTTTTCATGCGTGTATTGCAGGAAATTCCGGACACGCGGTCGCGGGGATAGATAGATGGACGTGACTGGGGCAAAGCACGTAGTTTGTTCTTGGAACGTCGTTAGAACGAACGGTCATTGTCTCGTTCGATTAACAAGTCGTCAGCGGACGGTAATGGCCGACAAATCGATTTCCGAACGTCGCGAATGTCTCGACGAGGGGCGGCGAGAACGATACGAAAACGAATGGGTCCTATAGCTTGCGCATGACAAATGGTATTGGATTGGACAAGAGCGAGCCAGCCGCGCGATCCGAGAATAATCCGGAAAGTAACGGAAAGCGCGAAAGTTTTCGAATGCGGCTTGAGCCGGCCGTGGTGTGGATTTTACGAATGAACGATTTCGAAACTGTCCCGTTCGCCGGCGTGGCCCCTACGAGCCAGCGCATAGATTTCCCACCAAAAACCGTCGCGATCGAAATAAAGCCGAAAAAGTACGAGGTCACCCGTATCGCAATCGATAAACGCTGAAATTCCTGGTACAAGAGTGCCCATTCGCCTTCGCGTCGTCTCGTAGCCGCAAAAGCTATCCAGGCGCGAGCGCGTGGCGCATCTTTGCATTTCAACCGCAGCCGTACACTCGATATTTACATTTAATGCCGGCGCATAAAGTTACGCTCGGTAAAAGCTACACAGAACGCGGAGAGCATTGATCTGGATTTTGCTTTATTAGCGATACGCCTGTGCATAGACGCGTACGCGGGCACGAGGCGTGCGCACGCGCGCCTTTATCGTCTGAATATCTCGCGTAAATTTATATATACATACATATCGAGATTGAGATGCCCGGAAGAGAATTGTTCCGCTGGAGCTTCCCCTCCATTACCTCTTGGGCTGCTCGCTACTCCTTTCGCGAATGTAATCCTGCCTGATTACTTTTGTCGGGGAGGCTTCTACGCTTGCATCAACATTACCGACCGTAATGCGAAAAATCGAGCGTCCTTTATTCTCTCTCGACGACTCCGTTACGTGAGCGTCTGCCATATAAAAGTCGCAATCTATTGTCGTGAATTGAACAAGCCTGTACAGATAGCTTACGTAACCTTGATTTTTGCTTAGCCGGAATTACTTTATACGTATACAGCTGCCTGTATTATGCCGTCGTAACCGATAAGAAGCATAATGCATATATGTATACCCTTTCCTTTACCTTGGCTTATTAATTAAACAATACTGTTAAGCAACGCGTGTACGAGCGAGCGCACGGGCGTTAATGCAATTATTCCCGTAATAACGGGGCGAAATTATACGACCAGGCAGCCAGTCTTGATAAAAAGAAACAACGAACTCGCACCACCTACGTTGTTTTTCTTTTTTTTTTTTTTTGTTTCTTTTCTCTTTCGACGTTTCACTCGGACATCCACACGGAAATCCTGCTAAGTTCTCGTTGCGATACGCAGCTTCTTTGCTACCGGCGATGCCACTTTCCGTTTCATTGGATTTCACGCGCGTCCGAAACGCATCGCCATCGCGCCATTTCCTGCTATAGCGGAACTTTCGAAAATGGGAAAAAAAAAGAAAAGGAGAACAAGCGCGCATCTCTCGTGCCGTCACGCGTTCGCGGAGTTGGCAAATCGCGGAAAAGAAAAATGAATCTCGCGAGCGCACGCAACCTTCGGAAAAAAGAAAACTTTGGTGCAATAAGATGCACGCAGACTTCCACTTGGACGCGTGCAAGCGAGGATTACGATTAGAGGGGCGCTTGAGAATTATTATTGTTCTTTGCTTGCTTGCTCGCGCGCGCGTGTGAGAGAAACAAGATGGTTTTCGACCGGATTTTCATGTCGACGCCTTTTGACGTAACCTTTTATTTTTATAACGTAACAGCGTCACGTAATTCACGTGAAATTTTTTCGCGTCACGCCGTTAACGGTTAATTAAGAGAGTCACAGCTGTTCCTATGAATAGCCGCCGTGTGTCCGCAGGCTCGAGCGCGATTCATCGATGCGGCGACAAGAGGAGAGCGGCGGAATCAACGCATTCGCATTTCGCAATGATCGATCGATCTTTGGCGAATCACGAGGCAATTTAACGAGAAAAGCCACGTCATATGTTTGACCGACGTTGCTTGTCCCCGAAGCAAGCGCCCGCACGCGCCAAGCTCCCCCAATTTTTCCGACCGACGCGCACATAACCCAAGCATGAGAGAAAGAGAGAGAGAGAGAGTTGCAATCTGAGTTGTCGATTAATAGGCTTGGCGGCTGCGTCGCTTTCTAATGGGTATAGGGGACTGCCGGGCCGCCGCCTCCCACGACTTACTGGTAGGTCTCCTGCGCAGGGAGGATCGTCGACGCGCGAGGTAAACCGGTTGCCTGTTGACCGCTGCCGATCCTGCCGCGGCGTTCTTCAGCTGGGACTTTCGCCTCAACGGTCGTCTACGCGGCTCCGGCTTTTTACTCGCTTTGCCGACGCCGCCATGAGCACCCAACACTAACACAACTGTCTTCTTCTCGTCTTGCGGTTGTTCCACTAGTAACAATACACCTTGTTCCTCACTACTGCTGCTGCTGCTGCTGCTGCTGCTGCTGTGGCTCGACGAATCTTTATTGTTGCCGCGCTTGCCGGCAACGAAGCCGAGAAACTGCGAACTCGCGAAGTAATTGCGCTCTACGGGTCGTCCGGTTGATTTGACGCCACGGTACTCTTCGTAGAAGATCTTGTCCTCGTTGAAGTCACTGATTTTTGGCTTCAGCGAGGAGCAGCTCAAAGACGAGGAGTCCAGTGTCGTCGAGCTCGAGTCCGTGAGCTTCTTGGCGGAGTTGGCAGCGGATTCGGCTCTCTCCTCGAAATCGCCGGACAGCAGCAGCTTCTTGTCGTCGAACTCGTCGCTGTTGCTGTCGTCGTTCTCCACCTCGCCGTCTCGCGGCAGATACCTGACTTCCCTCCAGACGCGGCCTTTCTGGCGATTCGAGCGTCTCCTCTCGGGCGGCACGAACCAAACCGGACTCGCGGGTACGACGACGCTCGCTGCTTGCCTGATCGTACGTCGCCTTGAGTTGTAGGCCACGCGCCTCCTCGCGCTGCCCACCGCGCTGCGCCTCGACCTCCTCGTCGACGCCGACGCTGCCGCTGTCCTCTCGAAGTAACCCTCGGCACTGACACTCGGCGCCGGCTTCACCAGCTTCTGCCGACGAAACAGTCCGTTCTTCTTGATGTCGGTGGTCAGCCGCGAAATCGACAGCGACAAACTGAAACCCGAGGCCCTCGTCGAGGCCGTGTCCGTTTTGATAGAGCTGGGCGCCAGATGCCTGTCCGGGCCCGCTTTAGGCGCGACGCCCCGGCTCTTCGCGTCCTCGCGCGCCGGCACCGGCGGCGCCTGCGCCGGGGGCTCGTCGCTGCTGCTGATGTTGACCGTGGTCACGCAATTGCACTCTTTCACGACGCTGTCGAGCTGGTCGAGCTTCCTGGAGCGCGGCAGCTGCGGCGACTTGTCGAGCTCGATGAGCACCGAGGACACCTTCCTCTCGTCATTGTTGATCTTCCTCGGCAGCGCGTAGTTGCGTTTGGCGAACGCGCGCGCGTCGTACTCGTAATCGACCTTGCCCGACGAGTCCACGTCGGTCAGCCACTGCCCGTAGACGATGGTGTCTTCCTCGATAATCGCCCTCTTCTTCTCCCCGGCGTCCGTGCTGTGCAGCACGTGAACGATCGTCGGCCCGACGACGACCACCGACGAAGCTCGCTCGGTTTCGACGGCGCGACCGGTCGATTTTTGCTGCTGTTGCTGCTGCTGCTGCTGCTGCTGCTGTTGCGCCTGCTGCTGCTGAGTCGCGGGGGGCGAGAGCCTCGTGCGTCTCTTCGCCCGGTCCAGGTAACTCTTGCGTATCGAGATGCGTTTGAATGACTCGCTGCGCTCGAAGGACGGCTCGGGCTCGCGATCCTTGCGGCGACCCACGAGCCGACGCAGATTCTCAAACGACAGCGTCCTCATAGCGGCAGCGCCATGGAGAAGAGGCTTAGTGATGCCGGCCGCCCGCCGCGCGGCACTCGACTGAAACGCCGCAACAAACCGCGCTAGAAGGTGAGCGTTGTTTTTTTCTTCTCCTTTTTGCCCCGCCGAGCGAAAGAGCAGGAGGAGGAGGAGGAGGAGGAGGAGGAGGTCGAGCGTGTGCTGGTGGTAGTGGTGGTGGTATGCCGTCCCGTCCGGCCACTCTCGCGCTCGACTGCAACTCTCTCGCTCGCGCTTGGAAACCTCGGCAAGGATGCTGAGAGTGCAGAGTACGTATCGACGAGGATCGTTGATCTCTCTCTCTCTCTCTCTCTCTCTCTCTCTCTCTTTCTCTTTCGTGCGCGCGTGCGCGACGAACGCACTTCCTCGTGCACGCGTTTTCGTCGATACGAGCATCGATCACCGCGCCTATGCGCTTTACCATATCAATGCGCGCTCATTCTTCAACGCGTGCATGTATATTACAGTTGAGCCGTGCCTGCGCGTACGCGAGGAGGATTAAGGTGTTATTTACGATAATCGCCCGAAAGCATGTATATACTCCCACGTAGGATTCCTCACAGTTACACAGATGTAAAGAAGAAGCCCTTCTCGCGCGGAGTCGATGTTGGATATAGCTGAGGTTTTCTTCTCGAGAGAGAGAGAGAGAGAGAAGCAGCGTAGGGTTCATCCGCCTCCTGCATATCTCGTTTACCCCCCTCTCTCGCGTTCGCCCGAGAGCCAACATCGCGTCCTTGTATATTCTATTAGAGGCTCCTCGTGTGCGTGCATTCTCTCCCCTCCTCGTAAAATCTTCGATCGGCCAGAAACTCTTCTGCAGATGCGCTTTGATCTTCTTCTGAGCTGTCTCGTGTCGTGTCGCTTTCTTTTCCTTGCCAAAATTTGAGTGCTTCCCGAGATATTGAGGCATCTCGTTCTTGTTGTCTCTCGATGCGCGGAATCGAGTCAAGTTTGATGTCTTCAATTTTGCGCAACACCTCTGTCGCACAAGGCGAGCTTCTCTTCTGTATCCATCCCCGATATTCTTTATTTTATTGTTCTTTAAATTTTCCCTCGAGCACCCTTATACCTCGGATCCCTTTCTCTTTATATCCCTCGCGGCTTTTCATTTTATCTCTCTCTCTCTCTCTCTCTCTCTCTCTCTTTCTCTCTTCGCCTTGCACCTGCGCGATCAGATTCATTTGGATTGCGTTCGGCATATTTTCTTTGTATTTTTTTGAAATTCCTCGTTATTAACTCTCCTCGCTCATTACTCGTGGTATTATCTTGATTCTTTCAACAACTCGACGCTTTGCAAAAATGCATGCACGATAAATTGAACTTGGGTTCGCATCGGCGATGAACGTTAATGCGGAGCATACGCGGTTGATCGTGCGTTAGATCGATATTAATCGTTCGGCGTTCCACGCTTTCAGCATGAAGAATCGTAAGCTTTGGAGATAACAAGACTTCGAAGCGTCTCGTTTCGCGAGGCCGAGGCGAAAACTGTCGTATCAAATCGCGCGCGCGCGCGCGCGCCGCAAAAGGTTCGTAAACATAATGACCCCATAAATATCGAAGGGCAATAAAAGCGCCATTTTCCGCACGCAGCTCTCTTATCGACGGCAAGAAAGAAAGGGAGAAGGAAAGGAAAAAAGGCAAACGGTCGATGTCGTTAGCCAACGGTAAAACAAGCTCGTGCGACTCTTATCACCACGGAAAGCCAAACACTTCACGCATTTGTCTCGTATACACACAGCGAGCGCTTCCCTCGTATATCTTTCGTCTGCTTTACGGTCTTCTTCGGCTGTGTACTCGGTTCTTCTATCTATAAACTCCTCTTCTTTGCGCGACCACGACGACGACTGGTACGAACGAAAGAGAAGTAAGAAAGAAAAATAAAAGAAGAAAGAAGGCACGTGAGCGCGGGCAATTTGGTCAGGAAGAGGCGGCCACGCGTCCGTATGGCCTTGGGTATCATAAAATATCGCTCGCTCGTTCACTTCTGCGGCAGACGATAAGCATCGAGCGGAGAATACATCCTTGAAGCGATAATCCGTAGGCTTTTATGGGAATTCGCCGATATACATGTATTATTATAACCTCTTTTTATTTTTACCCTTTGCGAGAATTTTGGCGCGAGCTAGATCGTAAGGAGTTGAAATACGCAGAGCGTGTCATATTTCATTGTAATTTAACTTTCAGTCATCGAATTTTTCCACTTTCACCGCGAGCTCGCGCTTTCACGAGAGAAGCTGCGATCGCGTTAATTCCTCGCTAATTAATCTTTGCGAGCTACGGTACCTCCTTCGCCTACTTTAGCGATCGCTTACGCAACTAATAATTTTATTGTTCTTTTTCGGGGGAGTTTTTTTATCTTATACCAGAAAAACTGTCTCTGATTATATTAAAAATAAAATGAACGATAACAAGAAGGAAAACCCTAACTATATTCTATGCCATACCGCAGTCACACTTTCCTGGGTCTCGTCGCCGTCGCTGTTTATACAAGATTCCAGATTCAGATTCGGTTACCACACGATAGAAAAACCACTATCGTCGGATGCACGCTTGTCCTTTCAAAGTGTTGTTATGTAAATTTTCAGGTATAAACTTCTTACGTCGCATTTGGAGTGCCGAATTTTAATGACGTGCAATAAATCATTTATAATTGATCGATATTTGTGCAATTAAAAAAAAATAATTTTTCATCAGTCGACAGTACGCAGAATGAACGAGTCGTTCAAAAGCATTTCCATACGACGAACTATACCACGGAAAGAAAAGAAGGATATACGATTTGTTTTCAAATCAAAGGAAAAAAAAGTTCAAGACCCATTCGACCTTGATGGAGAAGGAAGAAAAAAACATTTCACTTTCTACAAGGAAACGGCGCCGAGAGGAATGGAAAATTTTTTTCCAGATCACCAGGCGAATCCATCAACATCGCCATCATCATCGAAGGAGTTGCATTGCACGTACAGACTAAGGAAGTCGACATAACGGCGCTCGCTCGCGCAGGTGAATCAGCTACAATGTAACGCGATTTGGCCATGACACTTCCGTTCCTGTCGCGCACATTATGAGAATGTCATTAATAATTGACGGCCGCAATGTTTTACGATCCAGTTTATAATCGACGCTGTGTTATTTCACAAGGGGGAAAAGCTTGAGAGTAAATATACTTAACGGCTATACACACACTCACGAGGAGATGATTGACGGTGTGAATGTGTGATGCTGCATGTAACTCGACAGATAAATCATCAGTAATTTTCAGACAGCCTTTATGACTCGACTTATACACTAAACTTATTTCTCGTCGTTTTGGCGGATAATATATAACGAATAAAAAAAAAGAAAATAAATTCGAGAAGATCTGTTGCTCCGTGAGTAACTAGAGTAAATAATTCATCTTCCATCAATATAACGGCATCTTTGCACGCTGAATATCAAATAAATTACACGTTAAATAGTAACTGATGATAAAAGTAGTCGCTGTACCCACGCTCACAACCAGGCATCTCGTTACGCCTGATAATTGTTCGTTTCGAATGTCGCTATCGCCAAAAACGGCGATTCGTGCGTACGTATTTCGTAAAGGAAAAACAACTGAAGCGGACAATCCGTATGAGAAAAACATGAAAAGGTATCAGGAGGAGTGTGTTTTAACGAATTTTTTCTCGTTTCTCAACGAGAGTCCGACACGTCTACGTATACGAACCTGCTCTCGGAGGCAAACAAAAAAAAAACTGGTCCAGCACTTTCGCGCTCGCGGCCTTGCCGATAAAAATTCGTCTCGTCTGCAGCGCGTGTATGTAACATACGATCGTAATCCCAAACCTTCCCTCCCGCGAAAGTTTTCACTTTTCTTCGGACTTTTATCATCGTGGGAATGAGTCAATTATACGGCCATTGATAGTTTTGCGCTGAAATTTTTTGAGAATGTCTTCCGCATTGAAAAGCGCGCTCAGTTACGTCGAGAGAGCGAGCGAACGAGCGAGAGAGAGAGAGAGTCAATTACGTGTTATGACAATTACATAAAAAATTTGCACGACTAATCAGATTTATATTTCGATACATCGATGACAGTCGTTCAGTCTCTGTCATGCCGAATGACAGAAAGTTTGTTCGATTGATTCCTTCGGTTCGTTGAAAGTTCATTCACTCTCCGATTGTTTTTTTACGGTCTGGACAAATCGGCATTTTTTTTTAATAAAAACTGATCGACGCGATACTTACTTAGCATGGCTATTGTGCAATTTGAAAAATATTGTTAGTTATCAGGAATGCCGTTTAATAAAAGCGGAAACGTCGTACTAAACAACTTGCGAAAAACTTCTTGTTAATTTATTGAAATTTGAAACTGGAATGTGACTACCATTATAATACGAATAGTTCAACGATGGATCAATTGAGCAATTGAACTTGTCGGTATACGTTTTCCTTTTTTTAATTTGACGAAGAGTATCGGACAGCTACTTCGCAACGGAATATATAAGGAGCAGTTTTCACGATGTAGCAATTGTTCTTCAATCTACCTCATTCCTGTATAATGCAGCCATTAGACGAGAAAGAAAAATACAGTACTCTTCCTATATAATTTTTCACAGCCGACTAACAATGGGACTTGAGCGTCAATTGATAGTGTAGCACGCGACAACGCATTTCTCATGCACGCGAAATATACGCTTGCGTTTGCTGCGTATCACTCGTTAATCCCGGCTTTCCTTCTTTCACCTCGCCTCGCATCTCGCGTTCTTCGTTTCAGGCGCGCTTCGGCTGACGCGAAAAACAAATAAAATAAAATAAGCATCACTCTCCTCGCTGACGGCGATGGAAGCATTAATCACAATCCACGGCACGGTAGCTCATTGCATTGCCGAATCACTGTGTTTCCGCCAGGCGCGCGCGCTGCAATTAAAATCCGTATTACGCGCCGCTCGCGAGAGGTCGTTAATAGACGGCTTATCGAGTACCCCAGCCATGGCGCGGGACCAGCGAGCGAGGCTGCAATTTTCGACACAACAATCGTTAAAATCGACTCTGCGTCGCGTAACGCCCGATC